TGTACTTTTCAAATCTGAAAGCCTGAGCCACTAATGAAATCCACAATCGTATAAAGTAGTACCTTGACCGTCATCTGCCGCAGCGTCTGCTATCGTCATCATCACGGCTGCATGCGAGACATGATATCGCTGAGCGAGCCGCGTGAGTGGCTGCCCTGCGGTCGCTACGTGGTGGCGCTGCATCCCAGCAAACACGAGTCATCGTCGTCGTCGGGGGCGACGAGCGGCGCTCACGGACGCACGCCGGGGCGACGCACGCAGCGAGTGAACGAACAACAGGTACGTGTGTCGTTCGTTAATTGTTGTTGTTGTTGTTGTTGTTGTTGTTGTTATTATTTTTCATCATCTTCTTCTCCCCTTCCTCCTTTTACTTCTTCTATCTCTTTTCTTCCTATTTCCTGTACTGAGCAGCGTGAATTCGATCAATAATGCATCCTTCGGTAACTTGTGAGTTTTCCAGTAGGTGGCGATAGTAGTAGCCGTAGTCTGCCGCTAACTCTCTCCCGAGCTCGACGCTCTCTAATCTAAAGCGATTGACCTTCCAGGGTCGGTGGCTGCTGAGGGCGGGCGGCGGCGGCGGGGGCAGCACCGAGGCGGAGGAGGAGCTCTACTACGACAAGCGAACAGCAGTGTTGAGCCGCGGCACGTTCCCCGGCAGCTGGCGTCTGCTGAAGTCGTTTACGGAACATTTTATTGTCAATGTTTCTTTACCAGCCGTAAAAAAAAAAAAATTCGAAGTTGGACAGTTCCTGCTCAAAAGGCACAACGCACATTCTTGTCGGAACAACGGTTCGTAAATAAAAGTATTTCAAGAAAAAAATAAAATGTTCGCCTACCTACCTACGCCCTATTGTTTTTTGCTCAGCATGTGAGGGTTAAACCGGGCACACCATATATTTTGTTTTGGCGCGTTATTACACGTATTACTAGTATCTAGAACATTAATTAACTCGATTGCTAAGAACGAGTTTTAATGAACCAGAACACATAACCAGCATTACGGATTTGTGAGCGAGTGTTAGAATGACTAACTACTAATTGTACTACTACTGCTAATTGTACTACTACTGCTAATTGTACTACTACTGCTAATTGTACTACTACTGCTAATTGTACTCTGACATCTAATTGTACGTACTGACTGCTAATTGTAGAAACAAAAACTGAAACTACTGCTAATTGTACTACTACTGCTAATACTAATTAACTATGTAATCATTAACTATGAGTAATAACGAGCATGGACACGCACCCGCTAGCACGGCTGTCATCGCTGGCCGGTGTCACGCGACGTTCAAACAACAAACCATGTTCCACACTCCATGCCTTCAACACCTAGTATATGAGGAGCAAAACCAGGTTGCAAGTACTGAGGGTCACAGGCTGCGCATCCTCCTCCCCCGCTCGCTCCTCTCCCGGCTCCTCCAGCTTCCCCTCGCTCCCTCGCCCATTGAATTTCATAATTCAATGTACTTTTCAAAGCAGCAAAATCTACATTCGAAGTACTTTTCAAGGACTCCCCCTCGAGAATTCAAGGATTTTCAAGGACTGTCGAAGCCGACTGATCAGAGAAGGCAACACGACAATACTGATGCACAGGTTGGCCTCCTCTGTTCCCTCCTCTCCCCCTCCGCCGCTTCCCCTCCTGTCCTCCCTCTCCCCCGGCTCCCTTCGCCGCACACCTGTCGCCCTCTCCCCTTCCTCCCTTCCCCTCCTTCCTCCCCATTAATTGATCAGTCGCCTAGTCGGCCTTTAGGAAACACGCTCACCTGGAACGGCAAACCGCAGGCTGTGCTCTTCTCCATTGTTGCCATAGGAAACCGATGCTGTTCTCTGTCGCACCAATGCAGACGCCCTAAATCAAGGTCTGGTCCTCTGAGAAAATATAATGTGTTTTTATTAAAACTGCAACTGCATTTTTTAAAATGAAATAAAATGAAATTAAAACTAATAATTAAGAAATCCCTCCATTAAGTGATTCACGAATCATCGATTATACTCCAATCATCGGTTGAACAGTGCTCGAACCAAGTGCTTGCTTATCAAATCCATAATCGCGATTTCATAAGAAAAAAAAAAAACTTGGAAAAGTGATGAGAATCAGAGATATGCATCGCTACTATGACAAGTTTATCGCTTAATTAACATAGCATGTATTGATACACACAGAGTAAACACTGCAAACATGCAGTAAACAGGGCTAAACAAGCACATACATGCCACCACAACGTGCATGCCACACGACGTTTACGAACACAGCGCAGGCATTCACAGCGCCGCGGCGACGAGTAAGCCGATTGTAAACCGATCATGCGGTTAGCTTGGGTCCAACGAAGTGATGCGATTACGAAATTACAACGGCGACTTGACAACACTAGCCACCCATGCTTGCCCAACCTCACTGCGCGGTGCCCGATTCCCTCCAGCTGCGCCTCCTCTCCGCCTTCCCCCCTCTCCCTCCACCTTCCCCCCTCTCCCTCCCCTGCCCCCACTGCTCCCTCGCCCCTGCGGGCACCTTTCTTCGCTGCTGCCACTCCCGCTTCCCGCTCTCCCTTCCCCCTGCGGCACCTTTCTCGCTCTCCCCTGCCGCTTCCCGCCTTACCGCCTCCCCTGACCCGCTTTCTTCCTCTCCCCTCCGCCTCCCCCCTCTCGCCTCTTCCCCCTGAGACCGCCTTTCTTCACTCTCCCGCTCCCGCTTCCCCCTCGTCCCCCCCCCCGCTGCGCACGCTTTCTTGCCTCTCCCCCCCTCTTACCCACGCTCTCCCCTGGGCCCCCTGACACCCTTTCTTCATGCTCCCCGTCCCCTTCCCCGCTCTCACCCTCTCCCGACTGCGCACCTTTCTTCCTCTCCCCTCCACCTTTCCCCACCTCTCCCTCCCCCTGCGCACCTTTCTTCTGCTGTGACGAGTTCTCTCCCCCGGCAGACACGGACGCTGTGGCGGGTTTAGCGACTATCTGGCCTCAGCTCGGCAACCACAGCACCTGCCTTGATCGCCGGCCGGAACGG